AGAAAAGTAGAATTTGAATATCAGTGTAAATGAAAATTATAGAAAAATACTGCCAGTGGAGAGTTTCCTAAAGATACATCCTTAGACAAATTCATGGTGAAATATTTCGGTAATAACCTCTCACTCTCTTCAATCCTGACCCCACAGGGGGAGTGTAGTGGTCGACGTGATGTCGTGTATTGTCCGTCTCCAGAGATCTCTGTCTCTGGTCATTTCTTTTAATTCATGCATAGGTCTTTGGCATATTCCTGTAATTTGATCTATCCATCTTGTTGGGGATCTTCCTCGTGATCTTCGGCCTTCTACCTTTCCTTGTATTATGAGTCTTTCCATGTTTTCTGTGTTTGCTCTCATAACATGCCCAAAATATTTTAATTGTTGGAGATGAAGTTTACTAGAGAGTCGTTGGCTAACTTTTAGCTCTCTTCTACAGCTTTTATGTACAAAATTAGACTTTTAGCAGATAACATTATAGAAAAATACTGACAGTGGGGATGTTTCTATAAAGATATTTTCTTGGACAAATCCATAGTCAAATATTTTGGTCATAACCTAGCTAAACAGTTAATTAGAGAGAAGCCAGTCAGATGTGAATATAAGAATGGGATGGTAACTGGTTCCACTGGATATGATTATGGTTTTCACGTCTGTTGTGGAAAAAAGCAAATAGTATTATTAAAAAGACCACTTGGAGCTAAAATTTAGTAAGAAAAAAGTAAGAAATTGGTAATAATGTTTGTTCAGCTTCTTTTTACAATTGAAAATATCTAAGCAATTTTAATATTAGTACCTGTTCTTTTCCGTATATCGTGTCATGTTGGCCCTACACAAATAAAAATAAAACCACAATCACAATACTATGTACAGATACTGACCTAAATGACAGCAGTCACTTGCTCTTCAACACTACGAAATAATCGCCAGCATGGACGAAGTTTTACATCAGTTGTCAGTAATAGGCGTATTTGATTGGCTAGAGAACGCGCGTATCTAAATACCAACGAATCAAACGTAGGTTAGGAAAGAACCGCTTATTTATGTAAGCTTATTCTAACGGTGCAATATAAGGCTAGGCGCATACACATCGAATTTAGGTGGTGTCTGTTCACCACTTTATTTAAAATATACTTCAAAAGTGATTTAAAAAGATGGAAACAAAAATGCACGACAATGAGGATACCGCTCACCAACACTATATCCAATCTGCAGACGATCAAGTAATAATGGCTCAAGATTATGACAATGTAAACTATATGACACGAAAATTAATTGAAGAGTATTATATATGGGGTCTAGAAAAAAATAAAAAGAATACCGAATACCTATGTATTGAAGCAGAACTAAAAGATCTCATATTAGATGATAAAACCACGATAAAGCACTGCTGTGATTACAAATATCTAGGTATCACTAGTTCACAAGATGGAACATTAGATAAAGCTATAAGAGAGAGAAATATGTCAGGGAGAAAAGCCATTACAATGTTAAACAACATTTTATTGGACCAATCCATCATCAAAGAAAATAAAAAGAGGATATATAAGACTATAGTAAAAAGTATCACTTTATATAGCTGTGAGGTTTGGCCATTGAAAGAAAGAACACTACAAAGTTTACATATTGTATATCATACTCTCCTTGTGTAAATTAAGTCTTCCAACTATTATATCAAACCGGAATTTCGTGGCGATACCTCCGTGTCGTGGCGCTCTCCTCAGCATTTTACTTTAAAACGCTTTTTCTCTAGATGAATAATTTTTAATTTATTATAATTAGACTTCGGCAAATATGCATATTGCATATTTTGCATATTTTGCATATTGTGCATATTTTATGCAAATATTTCATATTTTGGCATATTTGTATAAAAGTTTGCATAAAGTGCATAAAAGTTCAGATTTTTATACTGTATTTGAAAATTTTTAAACATACCAATTTATTTCAATTTTTGTATAAAATTTTGAAGTCATTTTAATCAAGAAATAATCTAAGTACGTAATCTCTACAGGTACAAAACATTTACAATTTCAAAGAAGATCAATTTAAGTAGCCCTCAACATTCTTAGAAAGTCTCGGTCACTGAGGCATTCAGTTATTGGATAATCGCTAAGGGTTCGCTCATTTGCATTTTATGATCTAATCCCCAAATCTATCTACAATTTATTGTATCTTAACAGCAGGTAAACGGCTAATAGTTTGTTCCTAATTTAGGATTTTTCAAAATCTCCCAGTTTATTGAATTAGGTACCTAAACATTTCTAATTTGATGCTCAGAATTGTAAATCATTTTTGTTTTGATATTCAAAGCGTAAACACTCGTTGTGCGTAACAAAAAGGAAGATTGTGATTTTATAATGCCTAAAACAACCAGTGCTTCAACTTGGATTAAACCTTATAAAGAGCTGTCTATGGATATGGGAAAAATCTACAGTTCAGTCTGTGGCAAAATTGTAAGTATCTAATATTTTCTATTAAATATCTAATATTTCATACATACAGGGTGTTTCCAAATGACACTTACAACGTTTGACTGTAGATACTTCTCGAAAAATTGAACAAAACGATATAGTTAATTAGGGGTCAAACTTATTTACTTTTCGAGATACAGGGTGTTACAATTTAAAAAAATTAAATTTTTTTAGTTAATAACAACAATAACTTTAAAACCAATAAACGTATTTACTTGAAATTTAGTACTCGTAGGTTGTTTTTAAATGAAAAATAGCTTCCTTTAGTGAGAAAAAATTGTCCATGGTACAATACAATGGTGTGTATTTAGAAAAATGTTTCACCTTTACTTTTTTTTATGAAGTCAGCTATTCTAAAACACAATTATTTTTATTGTAATTGAATTAACAAAAAAAAAACTTTTGTTGAATTTTAAAATAAGTTATATGATGTACTAATGGTTAGTAACAAAAACTAATTTGTGGATTAATACTGCATTTAAAACACTTAGCGAGTGTTTTTTTTCCAAACCAGTTAGTTGATTAACCAAAAACACCTTGTATATTTTTATATTTTAAAGGTTGGGTTAAAATAAACGTTTTTATTTTTATTTATAGATAGCATGTGAGAAGAAATTTCAGATAGACCAACATGTGAGAACTGCTTCACACATTGCAAAAAAAGGAAAAATAGGAGGAAAACATCAAACTTCAATGGCTAAATGTTTCCAATCTACTTCAAAAAAATTAGATGAGCAAGAAACTTTTAATGAAGACTTGTGTCGCGCATTAGTGTCTGCAAACATACCGCTTTTAAAATTAGCAAATGTAAATTTTAGTTCGTTTCTAAAAAAATATTGCAAACTTAATGTTCCAAGTGATCGGTCTCTAAGAAGAAATAATGTGAACGGGCTATACTCGTCGGTCTTAATTAATATTAAGGAAGAAATTGCAGATAATTATTTTTACATATCTGTAGACGAAACCACTGATTCCTCAGGAAAGTATATTGCTTATTTATTGATTGGTGTTCTTAAAGAAGATACCTTACCAAAATCTCATCTTATTTCATGCCAGCAACTTGAGAAAACAAATGCTTTAACAATTTCGCGTTTTATACAAGAAACATTAGCAACTTTTTTTCTTCCGACAACTATTCCTTCTAATAAATTACTGCTTATTTTATCAGATGCTGCTCCTTATATGGTGAAAGCAGGACAAAATTTAAAAATATTTTTCCCAGATTTAATACATGTTACTTGTGTAGCGCATGGATTAAACTAGAGTTGCAGAGGAAATACGAAAAAAGTTTCCTCTTGTAAATACCATGATATCCAGTGTCAAAAAAGTATTTCTTAAATCTCCTATAAGAATTCAACTTTATAAAGAAATGCTACCTAACATTCCTCTTCCACCACAACCTATTTTAACGCGATGGGGAACATGGTTAGAAGCAGCTAATTTTTATGCAGATCATTTTGTTAAAATAAAGAACATAATTGATACGTTAACAGATGAAAGTTCCCAATCTCTTTTGGATTCTAAACAAACTTTTCAGAGTAACTTGCTTCAACAAGAACTTTCATTTATAAAATCAAATTTTAGTTTTGTTCAAAAAACAATTACTCAGTTAGAATCACCAAAACTGTCATTGTTCGAAAGTACAGCATTAATAAAAGAATTTGCGTCATGTTGTCGGAACGTTAGAGGTAATATTGGAAAAGATATTTTAAAAAAATTTGAAGCTACTATGGAAAAAAATAAAGGTTACCATATTCTTTCTGAAGTAGTCAGTGTTCTAGCTGGAAATATTTCGGAAACAATTAATTTAGAACCAAATGTTTTGGTTAGTTTGAAAAATGCTCCCGTTACATCAGTTGATGTTGAACGAAGTTTTCATATAAATATGTACTCAGACAGAAGCCACAAGTTTTTGTTAGAAAATTTTGAACACCACTTGGTCATTTATTGTTACCATAATTCTAAATAAGTTTATTCATACTTAAAAATGATGTGTTACTTAAAATAAATGTAAATCTTAATGAATAGTAGGAAATATTTAGTTATGTACACTTTTTTTTTTAAATAAAATTGTTACTATTTTACGATTTTTTTATTTATTTGTATGCATATTTTGTAAAATATTTGCATATTTTCGGGTAAACACGTGTATATTTATGCGCATATTTTCTACATTTTTATTTGCATATTTGCCGAAGTCTAATTATAATTAATTTGTAAACTGGACTGTTATTTTAAAACGTCCTATTATATTTATCAATAATTGTTTTTTTTCAGATCTCCGAATGACCTACATGAATTAATAGTGCAAATTCAAACTAATTATTACACATACATGATCGCTAGCTTGTTTAAAAACATTGAATTATACAATTGATCCGGTTAAAAAGCCTATTGATAAATGACAATTAAGAAAATTTGCCTCTCACTCTCTCAGTCGCTGTTTCAGTGATTTCTATATTAGTAACTCATCGAGGAAGTTTTGCCAACAAACGGTGACGTTGCTTTTGGCAAAAATCGACTCAGTCGGCGGGAAGATGTACTTTAACTTGTCGGGAATAGAATAATGGAAACGACTTTGTTGAATGGGAAAAAAATTGAGAAGGAAAAGAGTTGGCCCCAAGTTTTAGCGATCTTAATTGGTGAGTATTTATTGGTTTTTTAATATAAATGTGTATTTGGTAAATTTTTGTGTTTTGAGAGTCATGTCAGCAATTTATTAAAATATGATCATGTGCGTAGCTATTTTTAGACTATATTTTCACTAATTGAGAATTTACAAGTACGTATTTGATATTTGTGAATACTCCTATATATAAGAGTGATAAAAATTAAGAATATTTTTAATTATTTTTGTCATTGAGTGGCTTTGAAACATTTTGGGATTTTTCTTTTATCACTGTTGACAATGATGATGTTCGTCATCATTAACAAGAGTGGTTACTAGGTTGGGGCTTTTGTGCTTAACTTTTAAACATAGTATGATCGTCGATCACACATAACTACGTCAATTTTTTTTGTTTCGTTATTGTTTTTTATATAAATTATTTAACCCAATGTTTCTCGCTCAAGAAGAGGTAACTCCAATCTTGATGCTAGATATATATTCTACATTTCCCAATATCGTTAGCCATTCTGTCTGAAGCTTCTTTATTTTAGTTTTTGTCTTTTTATCTCTTTTTGTAATATCTTTTGTAATTTTCATAGTATCTATTTTTTTGGATATACTTTGTTTAGCTTATTATTTTACTTTATATATTTTTTTATTTATGTGCTATCTTCTCAGTAGAAATTCAACTGTAAAATAATCAGGAATCAAACATGTATAATTATGACTGAGATAGTGGTTTACTGTCTCTTTTTGCAGACAAAAAATTATTGGAGTTTAGTTTCTTTTTTAAACCAAGTGATTACTTTTAATTTCGAATTGTGAGTATAACAAAATTAGGGATCTCAACTAGCTCGGTAGTTTCATTAGAGTAATATTTTGAAGTAATTTCAGAATATTTGGCATATAGTGCGTTTTACAGAACGTCACATATTTCGTTATACTTTAGGAAAAATAGTAAAGTTCTTTTTTTATTTTGTCTTTAATTGACTCTAGCAAAGCAAAAGTTCTTCGCGGGAGCTCTTGGTTAACTTTTTTTACTTTCTTTAGTTTGCTTATTACACGAGGAGTGAAGATCGGTGAATTTGACCTTGGTGTATTTATAATAATGTCTGGAGAAAATAAAATGTGCATTTTTAGTTAGTTGGAGACTTCTTCTATTCCTTCTTCTTTTTATGTAGACATGACTCTGTCTATTTTTCAATGTGCCTTCAGTATTGTTGCTCCATCGTTTTCGTGATCTTCCTACTGATCGTCTTCCTATTGGGAAACCGTCTCGTTCCGTCTTTACTACTGTATTTGTTGTCATTCGGCTTATATGATCGTTCCATTCTACTCTTCTATATCTTCATCATCATCAATCAGCCAATCGTGTCCACTGCTAGACATAGGCCTCCCTAAGTTACTTCCAGTGTTCTCTATACTGGGCCACTTGTAGCCAGTTTCCCGCTACACGTTCTATATCATCGATCCATCTAGTCAGTGGTCGTCCTCGGCTTCTTTTATTTCTGGACTCTGTATCTCGGAGTTTCTGGACCTCCATTCTATAATACGTCTTGTCCACCGTCCATCTTGTGTTCTGGCTAAGTGCCCTGCCTAGTTCAACTTAAGCGTCGTGGTTCTTTGGATGACGTCTTGAACTCTTGATATTTGCCTGATTTATTGGTTTGTTATGTGGTCTCGAAGGCTCACGTTCGGCATTGCACGTACCATGGCTCATTGTGTAACTCTAAGTTTATTCGCAGATATTTGCGTGAGTGCTAAAGTCTCTACCTCATAAGTTTGTATAGGCAAAACACATAGGTTATAAACCTTTCGCTTGAGACACATGGGAATTGAACTTTTTAAAATATGGCTTAATTTGCCAAATGCTGCCCATGTCAGGCCTATTCGCCTCTGTATTTCATGTTTGATTGTCTCTGCTTATTTTGATCTCGACTCCCAGATATTTTGGTAAGTGTCTGTTTGTTGTATGGTATTATTGTAAATAGTTATATTTCCACTCATTACGAGATTTGTTATAAGTTTATCTTTAATCCTGCTCTTTTAGACAGACTTTTAAGCGAATGTATCATAGAAACTGTATCCTGTAAGTTATCTGCGATTATTACATCATCTGCAAACCTTAGAGGATTTAATCTTTCTCCATCTATCTTAATGCCCATATCTTGCCATTGAGTGTTCTTAAAAGTTGATACTAGAGCTGCCATGAACAATTTTGGTGAAATATTGTCTCCTTGTCTAACTCCTCGACCTAAGCTTAATTCTTCTGTGTCTTCGTGTAGTCGTATGCTTGATGTAGTATTCTCGTAGATGTTTTTGATTAGTGCCGTGTACCTGTAATCTATTCGGCTTTGATTTAGGGCTTCCAGTACTGTTTTAAACTCTTCAGAATCAAAAGCCTTCTCGTAATCGACAAACGTAAGAACCAGTGGTATGTTGTAATCGATACACTTTTCTATTAAGATCTTTATGGTATGTAAATGATCATTTGTGCCATAGCGTGCCCTGAAGCCTGCCTGTTCTTTGGGCTGATATAAATCAAGTTTAGGGGTTAGTCTCTTTGTTAAGATTTTCATAAAGAGTTTGTACATATGTGTCAAGAGGCTGATAGGTCTATATATTTTTTTAGTTTAGTAATATCGCCTTTTTTGTGTAACAAGACTATCACTGCATTGTTCCATATATTTTGTGAAGTTTCTGGGTGTGCTTTAAAAGTGGTTGGATTAGCCTTGTATAAGAGTATTCTGCTTCTTGGTGACCAATAGTCTTACATTTTATACAGTTAAATTCTTCTATAGAAAGGTATAGTGGTATTGTCACGAGAGAAAATAGAAGAATATAAAATAGACATATTTTCTAAAAGTCTGATAAATATTTGCCTTTTAAAACTCAAGACATTGCTAAATTCTCTTTCAAATAATCATACTCTTACGACAGTCATTTTTGAGACAGCATTTACACCCATCTTATGTAGTTCTTGTTCAGTTAACGTGTTTGGACCAGTAGAGCAATCATTTGATATTACAAGTATCTGAGCTGGAGTGATGAGTCTTCTTATTTCTACTTGAGTTTCTTTTATATTAACATATTTGGGGAAGTGGAGCAGTCAATCAATTGTATCCCTCCAGTATCTGGAGGATAATCAGGAGGGATACTGACAGAGAATGTAGCGTAGAATCTTTAAGTAATTTTAAACTGTTTGTCCTTGTTTTAGTGTAGTGTTTTGTACAATTTTATGTTATTTTTAATGTTTCCACATTCTACGCTTGCCGGATAGTTTACATTTTGACGAAATGCCCCTGAAGATGCTATTTTAAGCAAAAGTACTTGGGCTAGATTTAATTAACTTGTGCTCGATAATAGCCTTATTTTCAAAGTTCATGTATTCGAGCATTTAACCTCATTTCAACAACAATAAATTGTGGTTAAAAATAATAATTTTAAATAAAAAACCAAAAAATTTGTTAAAAGTAAAAAAAATAATTCCGGCGTCAAAGGATTAATATTTTATAAGATTGGGAAGTGGTCATTACTATATAAATCTTTTACTGCTGTCATCAAGAAAAGATAATTCGATAATTATACTTAGTTTTGTTGTTCTTGTTCTTTGTTTTTGTTCTTACTCTTTATTTTGCCCACTACTTTTTTTGCACTTATTTTTTTACTTGATATTTTTGTATAACCTACTGATGATTGTATACTAATTAAAAATGTATCTTCAATGTTTACCCTAGAAATGGGGAACTGTTGGGTAATAAAGCTATTATTTATTTTTTTATTTAGTCTAAATAAAAAAATCGATTTCTTTTTTACAGATACATAAACGCAAATGTTTTTGTTTTAGGTGCCATATCTGGCTTTTGTGTGGGCCTCCTCTTCGCCTGGTCATCGCCGTTTTTAATAAAAATCACACAAGACAAGATAAACTATAACATAACAGAAGATGAAGCTTCATATTTTAACGTGATCCAGCCCGTCTCCATGATCCTGTCATGTCCAATATTCTCGACACTCACTGATATCATCGGACGGAAACGAACATTGCTGCTGATCATCATTCCACATATCTGCAGTTGGCTGTGTTCGGGTTTTGCTAAAAGTGTTTACGTATTTTATTTAAGTAGAGTATGTGCTGGATTCGCTGATGGTTGCATTTTTGCATCTCTACCGACTTATGTGGGAGAAGTAGCAAATCCAAGTGTACGAGGAACGTGGGGAAACGCTGTTTCTTTCTCCCTGTATTTTGGAGAATTTATGATTACTGTGATTGGTAGTTATGTTAGTGTTAGAGAAGCGTCTTATATAGGTATACCCATCTGTTTGTTATTCTTTAGCTTGTTTTCCTTTATGCCAGAATCTCCATATTTTTATATAAAGAAAGGACGGGAAGATGACGCTAAAAAATCATTACGATTTCTGAAAGGAAAAAGTGATGTAGAAGATGATTACATTTCATTAAAGAAAGACGTGGAGAGGCAATTATCCGAGTCAGCCTCATGGATCGATGTAATTAAAATTAGAAGCAATAGAAGAGCTATATTAGCAGGAATTTTCATAAGATTTACTCAACAAACTGCTGGTCTTAACGTTTTCTACGTATACACTCAGTTTATTTTTAGACAAGGAGGCGGAAATATCAGCCATGAACACGCATCTATGCTTCTCTTAGGAGTATCTCTTATATTAAACATAATAGCCTTAACATTCATCGTCAAACGATTCGGAAGACGAGTTTGCTACTTATGGTCACTTATCGGTACTGGTATTCTTCTATACATCATGGGAACCTACTACTATTTGAAGGATAACTCCACATTAAACCTTTTAAGCTTCAGGTGGATGCCTATTACTACAATGATGGTCTACCAAGTATTTGCATCATTTGGTGTTGCTACTATACCAACTTTGATGCTCAGCGAGTTGTTTTCGGCTAGTGTTAAGTCCAAGGCTATGGCGATTCTCACGATGACTTTTGGTCTTGGTAATTTTCTGAACAATTTTATCTTCTACGAGCTTAATAGTAGAATCGGGTTTTTCGCTCCTTTTTTCTTTTTTGCCATTTGTAATACAATTGCGGCTGTGATGTGTTTATTTGTAGTACCAGAAACTAAGGGTAAAACACTTGAGGAGATTCAGCAAGAATTGAAAGGGAAAAGGATCATTAAAAAGTAGTTAGTATTGTTTACTACGATAATTCATTCCAGTTCTAGATGTATGTGTATACTTTTCCAATTGTTTTTAGATTTCCCATCCCTTTGGATTTTTAGTATTTTATAGGACTACCATCTTAATTTGCAGATTTATTTTATTGTCGTGACCCATTCTATCCTTACTGTATCAGGTATTACAATCATTATTATTAAAGAAAGATTATTTCGTAACTTTTTTCCCTCTAGAAAAGCTTTATTAGCTCTTCTACTTTCTAGTTTCAAAGCTATGTGGATTTCGTTTCTTGGTAGTCCTTTTCTTAATATTTCCCTTTGAAGCTTTTTCAATCTAAGAGCATCCTATGTTTTGACTAGAAATCTATCTACATAGTCTACTTCAACCTCGTTTTCATTTATAAACATTTTTATAGGCATAAGGGGTTTCTTTCGTTGAGGTTCCATACCATCTTTTCTTTTTGAAAATTTTTTATCAAATTTTTCTTTCAATTGATTAGGTTTTTTAAACTTTTTACAATCTTTTTTTCTCTGTGGTGAATTAAATTTATTATTATTTTTTTTTTCTCTATATTTTTTTCATTTGAAATTTTTAATTTAGCTGATGCTTCGCCATTTTCTACTTTTATATTCCCTTCTTCTTCTGTTTGCTTTTTTAATTCAGCTTTTAGTCTCTGTTGTTTTTTCTTTTCAATATTTTTTAAATCTAGTTTCGTGAAGTTTTCCTTAATAATATTTTAAGATTGATAAGGTAGAAGCTTCTGTTTCTTGGATTTATCGTTCTTTCCATTTTTGTTTATGATATCTTTACTTTTGTTTTCACCTTGAGTTTTAAGCTTTCTCAATATTCTCACCTATAGGATTAATACTTTCTATTTTTATTGATACCTTTTTCTTTATTCCTTTCTTTATTTTAACTGAAGGAGTTAAAACTTCCACTTTGTAACTTTGTTCATCTGGAGAAGCATCACTATCGTCATTCTCTCGAGGATTACTAACTTTTGTTTTTGGCTTACTTAATATTTTATCAAGTTTTTCGTTCAAAGCTACAAATGTTTCATCATTATCTGATAACTCATCATCCATATTGACTGGAAAAGGTTTGTTAAATGAATTTTGGTTAGTATTTTCAACAAATGATGTATCATATTGCTTAGAGACTGATTTATTTTGTTCTTGTTACTAGATTGACTTTGATCAATTATCAGTCTTTAAAAATAAATTTTTCTTCGTTCTAGCAAATGTTGATGGGGTTTTCTTCTGGAAATTCTGCCTACTCTACATGTTTACTTTATTCCTCTTCCTCTTCTTCTATAAAGGCTCTATAATAAGTAGTCTCGGACAAATAAGAGACTACTCAGTATTGATATAACTTGAAAAATGAAACAAAAGTTTCTTACATAAACAGCTTTATTTTTCGATCTTCTTCTTTACATATCATCTTCAACAGAAGGTTGATGACCATCATACGATATATTTTTATGATATGTATTATGTTTGCAGCTTCTGATATTTGGAATTGTTCCCTTATGCTTTCTAGAAAGGACTTGTCTTTCTGGCCCAAACCTCTTCTACTCCAATCTGGCTTTTCACTATAAGCTATAGCAGATTTTACTTATCTGTAAATGTACTTTAAACGTTGTTATTAATTTCATCGCATCACCTATTCGTTTCAATACCTCTGTATTGGTTATTATATCTTTCCAGTATATTTTCAGTATACAGCAGTATTTCTACAGCTTCCATTTTCTTCTATTTTTCGATGATGGATTAAAATAATAAAAATTTTTTGACTTCATTCCTTCTCTGAAACAAAGACAGGCTTAACACAGAGACACAAATCACCACAAAGTCACCAAATTCGATATTATACTTTGTATTAAATTTATTCCGAAAATAATAATCTGTTTCTTTTAACTCAGTAATATAATAATCAAATAATAATAAGCAAATAATCTTAACAGATTCATAGTATACAGGAGACAATTTTTTAACACTAAATTCTATATCTAGGTACACTCTTACTCTTGAGGATGACCTGCAATAATGTGGTTTGCTAAATTTCAGTGTCTCTATACATTCTTTAAGTTTTATTCTGTAAAAGCTTTACCACCAATTCTAATATTTATGATATGATGATGCACGTGTTTCATAATACTTTTTACAATAAAACTATTTCGAACATTTGGTCGAAAACTTGGTCTACTATTGTGCTCATAATATTTTGATAGTTTTTATGCATATTATATTATGTTTTCTGTATAGCCTGGAAATTTGCATATTGACCTAGTGCTCTCATCTAAATCTGGAAAATGATCAAATCCATTTTTATGGATGCTTTCTTAGATTATTTCTTTAGTGGGTCTTTACTGCTGAAGCCTACTACTTGACGGTTTTCCTACTCTGTTCTGGTTAGTTAATTAATTTTTCCGCTTTCCATAGAGCATCGGCTATTGCCAGTTTGGTATCCAAAAGTGGTAAATCAAATTTCTTTGCTATTCTGGCTAATAACTAAGAGTTTATGGCTGTTATAAAAATGAAATGAAAAAATATTTGTTAATAATATTTTTTCGACCTGATTTTTATACCATAAAGTTCAAGCATGGAATCAAGGAAATCTACACCTCCCATGTAGTTTAATTTCCGCCAAATTTTGTTGCTTATGTCTATAATATTGTTTGACACTTCTTTTACATAACATAAAGTATTATTATCTAATATTGCCACTCTTTGATTCGTTCTTTCTCAAGAACTGGGATCACGTTGTCTTTCCTTAACCACTGGTTGAAACTGAGGAACATTTGTTTCCATTTTTAAACAAAACTAAGTCATATAAGTACTTATTTGTTAGGTTGTAATTTATATGTACCATAAAGCCTACATCCAGTAATATTCACGTTATGGTTAATTGAGAATTCTTGTAAATGTTCTATTTTAAATATTAATGATTGAAAGGAAAGTCCAATTTTGCATTCTAACCGGAGTTTTAATTATTATGATGTTAATAAGTTATTGCCAGAATTATCCACCATTGCTCTTAACCAAAATTTTCATTTATATAACTTGTTTAACCGAATAATCTTACATATTTAACGGGTTTTGATTAAAAAGTGGAAATATCTGATTTTGAATCTAGACCACTCACATTTGTCGTTTATTCAATAGATTGCCCTGTCCATTAAGTCTGTATTATTAATGATTTTTTTTCTTTATTACTCATATGCATATTACCAACTTTCTATTAATTTTATTTGAAGTTACAGATTCCAAAAATATTTTCACAATTTTGTCGATTAGTTTTAGATAGATATTCCTTGTATCTAATATGTAAGTAATTGTAACTGGCTAGTGATTGTAATAGTTAAAAATTTGAAGTGTATTTCTATATTAAAAAAGAATTTTTAAATATAGAGTAAAATTTTGTTTTTATTTATTATCCCAAAAACGACGATTTCTATAAAAAACACAAATTATAACAAATACAGGAAAGAAAATTTCAAAATTCGCACAGTGTATAGCAGAAAGAAGTAATTTTAACAAAAATGAAAATAAAAATTAACACAAGTATAATATTAAACCCGTTTTCTGCTAGCGTAACCGTATGGTCACACTAAATGATCCCTTTTAAATATACAACAGTTAACACATAGAGCGATATATGCAACTAGTAATACGACCACGCAAACTAAAGATATCTATGTAACGAATGATATACCCGGTACGTGATCTATTCGCTGGCAAAGTCGTGTTATAGTTAGTGTTTATTGGTGTCACAACGAGAAAGCATCAAAATGGACGTTCGCTTTGAGTAAGTAATATTCTTTAATTTTATTCTTAAAGAAACCATAAATATTTTTGAACTAATAGGATCTAGAGACATGTGTTTAAGACATATTTATATAATTGATCACAAAAGTATTGTATCAAATGTGGTAGAGCTTCTAATATTTGTGACCACAACGTCACACATGGATAATATGTGATGATTAATAGGTTTTCTGTTTTTTCTTTTTAGACGTGGTTTTACATTACAAGAAGCATTGATCATATTATATGATGACGAAAATATAGAAACTGATAAAATATTGGTGTTTATTTCTTCTCCAGATGTTCATGAGGATACGGATGAAGATTCCGGCGACGAAGACGATGGTGGTTTAGTTGAAAATTTGTCTCTAGACAGTTATTAGCGCCAGCTGAAGTTCGAATGAATAGTATCGAAAATATGGAACAAAGAGAGGAAGACTCTGTGGATGAAATAAAGACAACAGAACCTGATGAACAGGTGAGTCAAATAAATTAGGAAAAAAATAAAAAATGTAGAATTTCTAAAATAACTGAGATGAAGTAATGAATAGAGTGAGATTTAATACATAATAAAAAATTTGAAAACGGGAATAAATCTGAAAGTAATAAATTTTATGACATGAGGCCATTAGAACTATTCGAACTATTTTTTGACAACGATATCTTTGAGAATATTTTACAAGAAACAAAAAAATATGCTGCGTTCAAGAATTTTCCAGATCCAAATCTCTCCATTGATAAATTAAAATGTTTTTTCGGAATTTTAATTTTATCCGGCTACCATCCCTTACGGGGCAGAACATATTATTGGGATCAACAGGATAACATGGCAGTACACATGGTGAAAAATTCTCTGCGCAGGAATAGATTTAATCAAATCATGAAATGTATACATTTTTCGATAACAGCATAATTATAAGGACTGATAAAATGTGGAAGCTACGCCCCATTATAGAAAAGGTGCAAATGAAAAAATGTCTTAAGTACTTTCAACCAACCCAGCACATGAATTATGAGAATCAAGTATTTTGGGAAACATAGCTGTAAACAGTTTATCAAAGGTAAGTCAATAGCTTTGGCTATAAAGCTTGGTGTTTGAATTCTGAAAACAGTTATTTGATTCATTTTCAGTTATATGAAGGTAAACAGATTCCAACTGATAAAAGTTATGTAGAAAAATTTGGAAGTGCAACATCTCCTTTACTTCAAATGCTTAACGATCTACCAAATAAGATGCCAAATTCCATATTTATACTGATAATCTATTTACGAGTTTCAATTTACTTGCAGAATTAAAACTAAGGTGATATGACTGTACTGGAACAATAAGACAAAATAGAGTTCCTACGTGTTGCCCTTTGCCGGACAACAAAGTAATGGCTACTAAAACTAGAGGTTCTGTTGATTATGTTATATCTAAAAATAACGGAATTATTTTCCTCAAATGGATGGATAATGCTGTAGTTACGGCTGCATCAACTTACTACGGCATCAATCCTCAAAGTTACGTCAAGAGATACTCTAAGTAAGACAAGAAAATTATTCGAGTACAAAGGCCTTTGATTATTGCAAAATATAATACATTTATGGCTGGCACGGATAGAATGGATGGAGATGTGACACGATGCAGAATTTACATCAGAAGTGAAAAGTGGTATTGGCCTCTTTTTACTTGGCTTGTTGACGTATGCCTACATAGCGCCTGGGTGCTTTATAAGAACTTCTCAGAGGAAAGAAAAAAGAACACGTAATATAGTTTTCCGCCGAGAAATTGCACAGCTGTATTTCCGGAAATATGGAGTACCGCCTAGACGTCCTAGTAAACCTTTAGTCAGCAGGAATAGTCTGTCCATAAATAGAGTGTCCGACAATCTACGATATGACAAAATTGACCATCTTGTTGTTCCAGTTCCTAACGGCAAAAAACGTAGGTATGTAGGAGAAGGATGTTCTTTTGTGATACGTACACAGTGTAAAAAATGTAATTTAGCACGTGGCATGGAGTGTTTTGAAATTTTTCCTACACAGTAGTAAATACATAATGTATATATAGGTAACCTCCCTGTGTGACCATATGGTCACAGCGTTTTTTCTTATGTTTATAAAAAAAATTAATAAAAACATATTTTTACATTTATTTAGTTTTATTCCATTGTCATCTGCAGTTATATTTATGAAAAAATATATTTTTTGGTATTCTGGTAGAAAATGGGTTAATATTTTCAATTAAAGAGAATATTTATGTAAGAACAGTGAATTTATTCCTAAAAATGACACAGTGAATTTATTCCTAAAAATGAAGAGTTGATGTTTTTCTAATGCTATTAAAACATAAAAATGTATATATCTTAGAGTATCTAATACATCCAGATTATAATATTAAAATTTCGAAGCCATTATAGTTTTTACAAAAAATTATATATTTAGTATATTTCTAAATTTAATAAAGACTGATGTACGAGTACAATACTTACAGTGTTTGAAGTTTTACCAGAGGTTTCAGGGAATCACTAGGAATCATTTTCAGACCACAACCTTGCAAAAGCCTGAAAATAAAAGCAAACGTTACTATATATAATATTTGATTTTTATTACTGCTAAGTTGAAAATTGACATCTTTTTATAGTTTATTGCGTTATTATTTTTTTTATTTGTATAGACTCTAGAAGCTCTCTCTTCTTTCTGTTGGGTTCACTTTTTAGGATCTTGGTTTTTTCAAAATCAAATTTATGTTTCTTTTCGTTTTCAAGTTTTGTTTTTTATGTGTGTTTCGTGACCTTTTTTCTATCGCTATATAGATGACGGCTTGAGTGCAGCACCAGAGGATAAAATGGATATTTTAATAAATAAATTCAATAACTTTCACCAAAAACTAAAATTCACATTAGAAATTGAGAAGAATTATCAAATTAATTTTCTGGACCTGACCTTACATAGAGAAAACAGCACTATAACTACTTCATGGTACACCAAAAAAACCTGGTCGTCGAGATATCTGAATTTCAATTCTCATCATCCCCAGTCTCAAAAGAAATCAGTAGTTATCGGACTCGCCGATAGAGCTATTAGATTATCCGATCCTATCAATAGACCTCAGGCCATTAAAAAAGCAAAAACAGCACTAACGCTTAATACATACTCACACCACCTTATCGACAACATTTTCAAATCGCGACTGCATAAATTTTACAATAACAATGAAAACAAAACGGTAAAGAAAAACTACATGTCTCTCCCCTATATAAAGGGATTATCAGAACAAATTGCAAATCTTATGTCTAAACATAATATTACGGTTGCTCATAAAGGGCACAATCTTTTGAAAAAGAATTTTACAAGATTAAAAACAAAAACCCCTCTACTAAAAATATCGCATGTTCTATATGAAATTCCTTGCTCGAATTGTGATGGAGTTTATATTGGACAAACCAGTCAGCTACTTAACTCAAGAATACCACAAATATGACAAAAAAAACTTAACCGCTCTCACAAAACATGAAAACGAAAAAAAAACATAAATGTGATTTTGAAAAAACCAAGATCCTAAAAAGTGAAGAAGAGAGATCTTCTAGAGTCTATACAAATAAAAAATAATAATAACGCAACAAACGATAAAAAAAGTTTTCAAAAATTTGAACAAAATATATTTTAACTTAATTTAAAAACACATAAAAAGACAATCTCAGAACGTCTATGATGTTAAAATAACTGATTGTTTAAACGATAAACTAACATCAATAAACAACACATTAGATTTTAAATATATTTTACATGTAGTGACTAGTGGGTATGTCCTATGTTTTTAATATTATTTTAATTGTGACGTCTACTTGTTAGTTACGAATTTTTACATGCTTGGTAAGTCAAAAGTTTAACTTTTAAACCGTATTATGTCTGTCATAAAAAGTTTTTTTTAGTCGATATTATTTCTTAAAAAAGGATGCATTTTTGCCGAAACGTCGAAAAAATATATGAAAATGTTTTAGTATCAAATCAATTTTTTTATGAATCTAAGCCCAAGAAAATCAACTAAAAAAATATACAATCGTAAAATAGTTTCGAAACACAATCGAAGCCATGTTATTGTTGCTTCTTAAAAGGCAGAAAATATTGATTTTTCACGTTGAGAAGCCCTATGAATAGCTCTTCTGACGAGACCTATTAGGTCGAAATACGTATCAAGAGATACATAGGATTTGTTTGCGTGAAATCAAATATTTGCTGCCTTTTCTCATTTTAAAAAAATATAATTATTAAGGTTCAAGAACTAAACTCAAACTATATATATATATATATATATATATATATATATATATATATATATATAATATAAAATTAATATTTCTTGGGTTAGGTTCAATAAAGATATGTTACATGTGGAACTAGATTTTATTTTCCATTGCAATTAATCAACGTTTCGGCAGGAAACCCTTGCCTTTGTCAAGATTCTAAAATGTGTATATATATAAGGACAAAGAGATATTGTAAAATATGTATATATATATATATATATATATATATATATATATATATATATATATATATATATGACTTACCAAAACGTAAAACGTGACACAGACATTAAACGAACTGACATATAAAAGTTG